GAAATTTGGCATACAAAACACTGTCATAAGTCGAGTGGTCGTATGTCGAGCAGGTCGTAAGTCTGATGGTAGGTGTATTTTCGTATGATATTTATGGTTGTATTTTAGATTTCCTGGTCTCATTTTATAGAATGGATGACATATTACAGAAATTGGGATGAATTTGATTGGTTTCATAATGAAAAGTACATTGAAATTGAGCTCAAAATAGCAGAAATGTTCGATTTTTACCAAAGTTCAAAAGTAAACAAATCATACCAAGCATCCAATGCACGTCAGCTGGCGAGTCTAGTATTCTTTCACAAGTGCGCTGATATTATTTATACCATTTCTACACTAATGCAGTAGTCTGCATAACAGTAAATCTATTTTTTTGTGAGAATAAAAATTCAAAGTGGAAATCAAAAGAGATGTAAGAGGGGCCTGGGGACGTGACTGATGAACAGAGATAATGTTATTTTAGTGCCGGGAATGTCTGTCTTGTTTATTCTGGCCCCTATTTGGAAATTGGCATCTTCTGAAATTTGTGTGAAATTGGCAAAATTGCCAATTTCTGACCACTTTATTGGATAGTTGAAATCGATAAATGGGTGGTTTCTTGTACTCATTCAATAGAAAAAATGGAGTTCTAGCAAAATAGTTATGATTTTTGTCAACTAGTACACTGGAATTGGCTGAAAATAGGGCTCAAAGTGGGCAAAATCACCGATGTGTAAACATCGTTGCGACCACTAACTTCACAAGAGTACAACTCTGTAAGTTTTCCATCAAATTTCATACTTTTGGTGTCATTATGATTGGGAAAAGATTATCATTTCATAAGAGAAAAATATTTTTTCCGAAAAATTTTCAACCCTGAGAATGAGTTTAGGAGAGGGCCTCTGGACCCTGAAAGGGTTAAGGTTGTTGCTTATTATCATGTTTCTTAGGTTGTCTCTAAAGCTTTGTATGTTTGTGTGGGGGTATTCTGCAAATTGCACTAATTTTTTTGAGTCGGTATTATTAACTTTGAATTGCGCAAATGTATATTCACCATATTCATTACTGGCACTTATGGTGTTTACATAATTGAATTTACTAGCATGGTAAATAGCTGTACTGCCACCTTTTTTGCTTGGTCTATAGTTATGGATAACTAAATACCCAGGAATGTTTTTTTTTTTTTTTTTTTTTTTTTAACATTAGCTGTCTCCCACCTAGGTAGGGTGACTCAGCAAAGAAAATGCTTTCACTGTTGCTCACTCAATCACTGTATTGTCAGAAAGGTAGTAAAATCACATTTCAAAGGGCTCTCCAAACTGCTATGTCTTCGCCTCTTCAAAGGACAGGCACTGTACTTCCAATCTCCAGGACTCGAGCCCAGATAACGGGTTTCCCTGAATCCCTTCACAAGTTACCTTGCCCGCACTCCATCAGCACTTTAAATCATAAAACCTTGTGCCTCCACTTACTCCTATCTAACGTGCTCACACAAGCCTTTTGGATGCTCAAGCCTCTAGCACTCAAAACCTTTTTTATCCACTCCCTCCAGCCTTTCCTAGGACAGCTCCTACTTCCCTCCAACCATACCTAGAACAACGCCCTACTCCTCCCCTCCATCCGAGATTTGTACACCATCTTAGTCATCCTGTTTTTCTCTATCCTCTCTAACAACCCCTCCTCAGTCCTCTGAATAATACTTCTGGTAACTCCACACCTAATCTTCAAGCTCCAAATTCTTTGTATAATAGTCACACCATACATTGCCCTCAAATGCATCTCTACTGCCTCCAGCCTTCTCCTTGCTGAAACATTCAAAACCCATGTTTCACACCCATACAAACAGTGTTAGTACCACTATATTCTGGTACATTTCCCTGTTTGCCTTAATGGATAAAGTTCTTTGTGTCCACAGATGGCTCAGTGCACCATCCACCTTTTTTCCTTCATCTTTTCTATGGTTCACCTCATCTCTCTTCGAGTCGTCTAAATAAGTTAATGAAATCATGTTTTAGCCAAGTTTCAGTTAATATTTTACAGGAAATTAGTATCTGGAGATTCAAACAATGCTGTTATGTCATCATTGTTTGCTTAGTGATCTAGTGTTGTAACTGAAGATGCTTAAATAATTACCTTTATTGAGAGAACTTTTAGCAGTGTTTGCTGTATAGAATTTGCAGTTTTGGTAAGCTGCTGGTTGCTGTATATATTATTTAAGAGGTTAAGTTCAGGGTCAGTATGTATAAGAACATAAGAAAGAAGGAACACTGCAGCAGGCTTACTAACCCATGCAAAGCAGGTCCATGTCCACCTCCCTCCCAGATTAGCCCAATGACCCACCTAGTCAGGTCACTTCCACTTAAGGAATGAGCAAGGCATCAGACCTAGTAGCACAAGCTAGTCAGGTCCAACTCACACCCACCTACACCCATTCATGTACAGTGGACCCTTGGCTAATGATATTAATCCGTTCCTGAGAGCTCATTGTTAGATGAAATTATCATTAGCCGAATTAATTTTCCCCATAAGAAATAATGGAAATCCAATTAATCCGTTCCAGACAGCCAAAAGTGTTAAAATAATTTTTTTTTTTCATGAAATATACATTTCCCTACAAAGAAAACAATGAGATATGCACAATAACTATATAAATAAATGTTAAAATGACACTTACCTTTATTGAAGAGTATTGATGAGTGATGAGACACTGTTTTTCTTGAACATTCTGGGATTTTCAGAGTGATACATGAGTAAAGGCTTCACTTTGCAATCCCCACTAGCATTACAACAAAACAAGAAAGTTAGCCTGTCTTTCATAGGCTTGTGTCCTGGGAGTGCCTTTTCCTCCTGAGTAATGTAGGTCCTGTTTGGCATTTTCTTCCAGAACAGGCTTGTTTTGTCACAATTGAACCCTTGTTGGGGTTTGAATCCTTCAGCTTCGCCATGCCTTATCACACTGTGTATGCCACTACGATTCTTAAATCTCTCAGACCAACCTTTGCTGGCCTTAATTCACCAATATGAGCACTAGTTCCAGGCATTTTTTCCTGTTCACCTGGGTGTTGGTCGACTGGTGTGGGTCGCATCCTGAGGGACAAGATTAAGGACCCTAATGGAAATAAGTTAGGCAGTCCTCGATGACTCATTGACTTGGGTTATCCTGGGTGGCTTACCCTCTGGGGGTTAATTGTTTCTCGATGATTGTTTCTCGTTAAGCCACACCAACAACAGTCAGCATCTTCGAGTAGTACAGCTGACGGTGATGCAGCAACAGCTGATGGTGGTGCAGCAGCAGCTGACCGTGGTATGATAGTATTTCAGTAGTATTTCTCGCCCTTTTTACCACAGAGTTGGCACTAGAAGCTTTCTTTGGGCCCATGGTGGCTTATTTAGCAGTTACAAGCACTGTAAACAATGGAATAATACAAAATGTATCGAATGTATGCATGAAACCTGCCACCCTGGCTTGTAAACAATGACAGCAGGGCAGCTGAGGCGCTTAGCCTGGACGGACAGGTTCAGGACAAATCACGTTGGGCGAGTTTCTTATTGTTAGCCAGGCCAAAATTTTTACGCTCAAAGTTTCGTTGGGCGGATTTAAAGTTATGCGATGCATTCGTTAGCCGAGGGTCCACTGTACGTATTAGCAAAGTGGAGAAGATTTTGGTTGGTTTCAAACCAAAAGTGGCATTTGGGGGGGGGGGGATTGTCCTATAGAAAATCTCCTTTATTTTGGTCTGTTTTATGGGCTTTTTAATAGATCTGCTTCAAATATTGGGATGGCCTTAACCATGACCAAGCATTCTTTGTTATATTTTATTAGCTGAGAAATAGGGAACACTGATTATTTTAAATTTATCATCACACAGAGGATGAGGGCTATATAGGACAAGCCTTAAGATGTGACTAATGAACAAAGAAATGGTTGCTTTAGTTCTTGAAATGCCCACAGTGTTTATTTTAGACTTTGCTTTTAAATTAGAATTTATTGAATTTTGTGTAAAATTGGCCAAATTACTGACTTCTCACTTTATAGGGTAGTTCTGAAAGGTGCATGGGCAGTTTCCTGCACTCAGTTGATAGAACAAAAGGCATCCTAGTGGAACAGCCAGGAAATTGGTCCATTTGTGCAATAGAATTGGCTTAAAAATGGGTAATATCACTGATGCGACAATTGCACTCAGACTGCCAACTTCACGTTTGTGTAAATTCTGTAAGCTTCCCATCAAATTTTTTATTTTTGGTGTCATTACCTTTGAAAAAAATATTTCCATACTAGAAAACAGCGAAAAGGCGAATCTTTATAACCTTTCACTGTCAACACCCCTGATATCGATAGCCTCTTCAGTATTGACATTTTTTGAAAAAATAAAATAATGGTCTTCTAAAATGATAAAGAATCTTATTTTTTAAAGGTAATGATGCCAAAAATGCAAAATTTCATGTAAAACTTAAGGAATTACACAAAGTTCAAGGTCAGGGAGTGCTTTACTCAGTGATTTCACCTGTTGAGGACTGTTTTATGCCATTTCCAGTACTTGAACCAATCCAGTTCCTGGTTACTTCACTATCAGTTGATTGCAAGAAAACTGCTTGTTCACCCATAGGAACTACCCTATATAACACTTACATTCATTTTGAATCTATCATCACAAAAATGTCTAGGCCAAAATGTGCTGCTTACAGTAAATTTGAGAGCACTATAAATTATGAGTAGATCTAGTATGTAAATAACAGTGAGAGTTAATTTAAAAAATATATATTAAAAAAAAATGCTCTTAAAAATTTGATCCCCTCAAAAAGTGAATATACCGTATTTGCTTCTATTAATTTACAAATGAATGGTTCCTTAACTTCAGAAGACATGATCTTGTTCTTATTATTAGACCTATAATTATGATTATACAGTATACAAATGAATACCCATTTACCAGGCACTTTTGATTGTCCAAATAATTTGTTTAATTTTTTCATTGCATTTCCAATGTTTCATAAAATTTTATACAAAATGTTGAATGTTTTTTGCATAGTGTATAATGAATAACTATTTTTATAGTTCTGATGTAGGAAACACAGATGATGAGAAGAAATCCAAAGTGTCCAACAGAGATAGAGAGGATGGGTCTCACAGCTCTGATAATGAAAAGAAAAGGAAGAAAAGAAAGAAGGAGAAGAAGAAGAAACACAAGAAGGAAAAGAAAAAGAGGAAAAAGGAAAAAAAGAAAGCAGCTAAAAGGAAAGTCTCCAATTCCTCATCTGTGAGTGATTCAGAATCAGATTTAGAAGAGGAGGATCTTAAATGGATTGAGAGGAGGAGTAAGTTTGATAGTAATCAGTAAATTAGAAAAAAAAAAAACACTAGACTTTGTTGATACCAAGGGGTAGCAACAATTATTTATTAGCATTTTATGTATATACTAGGTCCATGAAACCTGATAAAGAAAGACTTGCAGACTCATACTGACACAGTTATAAACAACTTGACAAATGCAGGGGGTATAAACCTAAGGTAAACAAGTTTTAGGACTGGTTTATTTCTATGAAAACAGTGGTGCATAGGTTCGCTTTTCAGAGAAATGTTATGTGGGAGTGGTCACTTTCTATCAGTCACATCGGACAAAATGGAAGAAGAATCCATAATTCTGGATTTTGTCAGTTAACATGTTTTTATTAATGATGACTTGTAAATATTTTTTTTTAGCCTAGTTAATTTTTTATGAAATGCATTCATAATTTGTGTATTTTGTATACTTATATGAAGAGCTCACACTTGTTTGGTAAAGACTGGTGAAGAACTATAGATTTATTATTTATGTTGTGTTAGCTGGTGTGTGGTTGTCAGGCAAGGAAAAGGAAAGGAAATTTGGTGGATAACAATCCAGCCAATGAGGAAAGCCCAAGCCACAATGGGGAGGGGGAGGAGGATGTTGGCTGAGAGCCTAGGAAGTAGGCCCAGACTGATGCCTGTGTGCCTTTACTGCCACCCTCCATGCATCTCCATTTCTCACTGATTCATTGCCTTCATTCCTGTATTAGTGTAAGTGATTATATCAGAGATTGAGTGTGTGTGAGTGTAAGAGAGAAAGATTGTCAAGGATCAGTACTGTAGATTCATTATTTGTGTTAGTCACTGGTTGGTAGGAGGGGTGATATTGGTAAGGCAAAGAAGTGAGTGTGAGAACCAAGGAGGGATGTTCCTGTCCACCACATGTTCATTTAGTGGCTGAGGCACAGCACTCTTCATCTGTCTCCACTATTTTCATACACTACAATACACTTGCCTGTCCACCTACTCTCTCACATTCACCCACTCACATCCATCCATCCATCCATCCATCCATCCATCCATCCATCCATCCATCCATCCACCCAACCACCCCCCCACCCAAAAACCCACCCACCCACCCACCCACCCAAAAACCCACCCACCCAAAAACCCACCCACAAACCCACCCACGCACCCTCTCTTACCCACCATCGTAAACACACAAACACATTCAATAGCTTCACTTTTCTACTATTCTAACATATGTTCCTGTATATATAGGAATCAGTCGTGTTTCTATAATTGTTGCAGTCTGTGGAAGTCCCTGAAACATGGATCTATATACAGCAGAGCAGTGTTTTACACAAAATGCATGTCCCTGCGTTTTACTGGGCACCTCGTGTGTACACAAACATAACATCTCTTCTGAGCCTATTTATTCTTCTGTTTAAGGCACCTGATAGTCATTTCTTGCAGTTTGATCATACTGTAAAACCACAGTGTGATAAACCCTGCATTAGATCATGGCTGTATGGGGGGTGTCTGATAGAATTAATTATTGATGCAACAGACCTAGTCTGTTGCATTGCACTTTTGTCCATATGGGAGGTGTCTGGTAATACCATTGATGCAGTGGACCAGCAGCAGACTTGGGCTTAGGCAAGCAAGGCTAATTACCCAACCCATAACAGTATGTTAATGTCTCTATGCACACTCGCCTATTATCATCATTTGGTCTCCAATTTTTACCTGGATTTAGTGCTTTACATTATTATAGTGTACTGGTCTATATTTTTTTTTTTATCACACTGGCCGATTCCCACCAAGGCAGGGTGGCCCGAAAAAGAAAAACTCACCATCATTCACTCCATCACTGTCTTGCCAGAAGGGTGCTTTACACTACAGTTTTTAAACTGCAACATTAACACCCCTCCTTCAGAGTGCAGGCACTGTACTTCCCATCTCCAGGACTCAAGTCCGGCCTGCCGGTTTCCCTGAACCCCTTCATAAATGTTACTTTGCTCACACTCCAACAGCACGTCAAGTATTAAAAACCATTTGTCTCCATTCACTCCTATCAAACACGCTCACGCATGCCTGCTGGAAATCCAAGCCCCTCGCACACAAAACCTCCTTTACCCCCTCCCTCCAACCTTTCCTAGGCCAACCCCTACCCCGCCTTCCTTCCACTACAGACTGATACACTCTTGAAGTCACTCTGTTTCGCTCCATTCTCTCTACATGTCCGAACCACCTCAACAACCCTTCCTCAGCCCTCTGGACAACAGTTTTGGTAATCCCGCACCTCCTCCTAACTTCCAAACTACGAATTCTCTGCATTATATCACACCACACATTGCCCTCAGACATGACATCTCCACTGCCTCCAGCCTTCTCCTCGCTGCAACATTCATCACCCATGCTTCACACCCATATAGGAGCGTTGGTAAAACTATACTCTCATACATTCCCCTCCTTGCCTCCAAGGACAAAGTTCTTTGTCTCCACAGACTCCTAAGTGCACCACTCACCCTTTTCTCCTCATCAATTCTATGATTCACCTCATCTTTCATAGACCCATCCGCTGACACGTCAACTCCCAAATATCTGAATACATTCACCTCCTCCATACTCTCTCTCTCCAATCTGATATCCAATCTTTCATCACCTAATCTTTTTGTTATCTTCCTAACCTTACTCTTTCCTGTATTCACTTTTAATTTTCTTCTTTTGCACACCCTACCAAATTCATCCACCAATCTCTGCAACTTCTCTTCAGAATCTCCCAAGAGCACAGTGTCATCAGCAAAGAGCAACTGTGACAACTCCCACTTTATGTGTGATTCTTTATCTTTTAACTCCACGCTTCTTGCCAAGACCCTCGCATTTACTTCTCTTACAACCCCATCTATAAATATATTAAACAACCAAGGTGACATCACACATCCTTGTCTAAGGCCTACTTTTACTGGGAAATAATTTCCCTCTTTCCCTCATACTCTAACTTGAGTCTCACTATCCTCGTAAAAACTCTTCACTGCTTTCAGTAACCTACCTCCTACACCATACACCTGCAACATCTGCCACATTGCTCCCCCTATCCACCCTGTCGTACGCCTTTTCCAAATCCATAAATGCCACAAAGACCTCTTTAGCCTTATCTAAATACTGTTCACTTATATGTTTCACTGTAAACACCTGGTCCACACACCCTCTACCTTTCCTAAAGCCTCCTTGTTCATCTGCTATCCTATTCTCCGTCTTACTCTTAATTCTTTCAATAATAACTGTACCATACACTTTACCAGGTATACTCAACAGACTTATCCCCCTATAATTTTTGCACTCTCTTTTGTCCCCTTTGCCTTTATACAAAGGAACTATGCATGCTCTCTGCCAATCCCTGGGTACCTTACCCTCTTCCATGCATTTATTAAATAGTTGCACCAACCACTCCAAAACTATATCCCCACCTGCTTTTAACATTTCTATCTTTATCCCATCAATCCCGGCTGCCTTACCCCCTTTCATTTTACCTACTGCCTCACGAACTTCCCCCACACTCAAAACTGGCTCTTCCTCACTCCTACAAGATGTTATTCCTCCTTGCCCTATACACGAAATCACAGCTTCCCTATCTTCATCAACATTTAACAATTCCTCAAAATATTCCCTCCATCTTCCCAATACCTCTAACTCTCCATTTAATAACTCTCCTCTCCTATTTTTAAGTGACAAATCCATTTGTTCTCTAGGCTTCCTTAACTTGTTAATCTCACTCCAAAACTTTTTCTTATTTTCAACAAAATTTGTTGATAACATCTCACCCACTCTCTCATTTGCTCTCTTTTTACATTGCTTCACCACTCTCTTAACCTCTCTCTTTTTCTCCATATACTCTTCCCTCCTTGCATCACTTCTACTTTGTAAAAACTTCTCATATGCTAACTTTTTCTCCCTTACTACTCTCTTTACATCATCATTCCACCAATCGCTCCTCTTCCCTCCCACACCCACTTTCCTGTAACCACAAACTTCTGCTGAACACTCTTAACACTACATTTTTAAACCTACCCCATACCTCTTCGACCCCATTGCCTATGCTCTCATTAGCCCATCTATCCTCCAATAGCTGTTTATATCTTACCCTAACTGCCTCCTCTTTTAGTTTATAAACCTTCACCTCTCTCTTCCCTGATGCTTCTATTCTCATTGTATCCCATCTACCTTTTACTCTCAGTGTAGCTACAACTAGAAAGTGATCTGACATATCTGTGGCCCCTCTATAAACATGTACATCCTGAAGTCTACTCAACAGTCTTTTATCTACCAATACATTTAAACCAACAAACTACTGTCATTTCGCCCTACATCATATCTTGTATACTTATTTATCCTCTTTTTCTTAAAATATGTATTACCTATAACTAAACCCCTTTCAATACAAAGTTCAATCAAAGGGCTCCCATTATCATTTACACCTGGCACCCCAAACTTACCTACCACACCCTATCTAAAAGTTTCTCCTACTTTAGCATTCAGATTCCCTACCACAATTACTCTCTCACTTGGTTCAAAGGCTCCTATACATTCACTTAACATCTCCCAAAATCTCTCTCTCTCCTCTACATTCATCTCTTCTCCAGGTGCATACACGCTTATTATGACCCACTTTTCGCATCCAACCTTTACTTTAATCCACATAATTCTTGAATTTACACATTCATATTCTCTTTTCTCCTTCCATAACTAATCCTTCAACATTACTGCTACCCCTTCCTTTGCTCTAACTCTCTCAGATACTCCAGATTTAATCCCATTTATTTCCCCCCACTGAAACTCCCCTACCCCCTTCAGCTTTGTTTCGTAGATGAATGGTTCAGAGAACCGACATGTTGATAAATTAGACACATGTGCAACTCTTGGGTATCTTTATTGCACATGTGTCTAATTTATCAGCTTTGTTTCGCTTAGGGACAGGACATCCAACTTCTTTTCATTCATAACATCAGCAATCATCTGTTTCTTGTCATCCGCACTACATCCACGC